CCTAGAAGGATACACAATAAACTGGTAATAGTGGTTTTCTTCAAAGAGGGGAGCCAAATGGCTGGGGTCAGGTATTCTCTGAATACTGTTCTTTACCTTTTTAATTTTGTAGTATATATGTACTACCTATTTTTAAAAATTACTATGTTCTTTAAAAAAACGAACAGCCTAATTGAAAAGTAGACAAAGGTCATGAACAGACAATTCACCAAGAAAAAATGCAAAAGCATCAAACATTTAAAAAGTTCAGTTTTATTAGCAATCAAAGATATAAATTTAAAACAGTAAATGCATTTTTTCCACTTTGAAAGGGTCTGCCTTGTTGAATGTATTGAATAGGCATGCTCATACATTGTTAATGAGCATATAAATTAGTTCAATCTTTAATTCTGAAGAGCAACAGGTTTTATGTGTCAAAATCTTACATTTTGGGCTAAGGCAGGAGGATTGCTTGAGCTCAGGAGTTCGAGACCAGCCTCAACAAGAGTGAGACCCCATCTCTACTGTAAATAGAAAGAAATTAGCCAAACAACTAAAAATAGAAAAAATTAGCCGGGCATGGTAGCGTGTACCTGTAGTCCCAGCTACCCGGGAGGCTGAAGCAGGAGGATCGCTTGAGCCCAGGAGTTTGAAGTTGCCATGAGCTAGGCTGACACCACGGCACTCTAGCCCAGGCAAGAGAGTGAGACTCTGTCTTGGAGAAAAAAAAAAAAAAACCTTACATTTTGTATACCCTTCGATCCTAATGCCATGTCTCCTAGTTTATCCTATGATAATAACTGTGAAGGAAAACAAGGATGTAAGATTACTATTTAAAATGAAAAATTACAAACAACTGAGATGTTCAAAAACAGAAATATTATCTGGATGTTAATAATTATAAAGAGGACTGTTTGATACTGTACATCAATTGAGAAAAATAAACCCAAGTTACAAATCAGCATTTATAGTTCAGTATTTTGTTAAAAAAAAGATATATACAAAGTATACATATGCATATTAATAGTTTACATTTCTGGCATGACAGGATTATAATCATTTCTATTTATTCTTTTTTTTTTTTTT